ATATATATTTAAGAATACACACAAAGAAAGACACACAACACTTCGGACGGCACTGCTTTCCGTCAAAGCTACTCGCAAGAACGCAAAATCACGATTGACCCGCAAGTCCCTCGCACGCGCCAAATGCCGTTAAACAAAAGACGATCGCTGATAGAAAAAACCCATGTTAACGGTCATTCTATGGAAAAAACCATGACAGCACGTGGAAATAATCCTACATAATTTATAATATTAAAACTGGTGTAAGATTTGTACAGTACAGAAATTGTAATAGATAGGATGAGTGGTGGGAGAGCCTCTGGTGGCTCGGCGATTTATAAACAGAGTGAGGAATGTGAGTCGGATAGTCGAAATTGGCAAGTTTAGTAGAAGCGAGCGTGCGAACAAAGGATCGGCGAGCGTGTCGATGATCAGAGTGCAGATTTTTGTATGTTTGCTTATTGTAATGGTTGAATGGGAACTGTGAAAATTACTTTTATTTTTGTATAAACCTTACACTGGTATGTTGCATTTATACAACTATATGCATTTAAGGGTTAGAAAATGTAGAAAGAATACCACTGTTATAGAGGTTTTATATGGAATGAATACAAGCTTCACCATTTGCTTTCAATCAGTCGTTACTGACTTTATCTTTTATGTAAACAAAAGAAAAATGGAGAACGGCTTTTTACATATAGATATAAATACATTGATGCGAAAAGTTGTTGTGACATTGTTTATTTTACAAAAAATGAAGGAATAATCCTATCTTAATTTCTAATGAATTTACTTATAAATACTTTTACTAGTATTTATAAAATAGTATTTAGAAATAATTATATTAAATAATTGCAAAATTGCAATTACGACAGATGTGAATTACCCACTAATATGGAGCCATTCTAAATGACGGCATGAATACTATATAACACTTCGTTGATACATAATTCTAAAATATGATTCCATATTTACCCATAAGGAATGGTAATATTACTTGCTCTTTTTATTTGTTGTACCATACAGAGAAGTTACAAATACTTATTAACGCTCTGTTAATTGGTAATTACACTTTATTGAATATTATTTTTAAAAATTTGAGAAATTAGAATGGCAGTTATGATAAAATATTTTTAATACTCACTAATCAACATAATTGTATATGTATATATAAACTCATTACAAATTTCAATACTACTTATTTCTTAATTTGTTATACTAAAAACAGATGCTCCGAACGCTTTTTTACAGCTACATTAGATGTGCGGTGTCTCCAGATTTAACAGTTAAACGTTATCAAGATTTATAAACATAGATCTCTTAACCAGTTAACTGTGGCGATTTTTTTGCAAAATGCGCACCAGTGTGTGTCACAATAATCAAGCGATGACGAGTTAGCTCTCAAGAATTTATGAATCCATCTCAAATCATTTACACTTTTTATTTGTTTATTTCATTTCGCGTTGATCTCTAAACATTTTAAACATATTACAATTTACGAATATAATTTAGTTTTCGCCAAAATTACAATTTAAATATCAAACTGTAACAAAATATTACGCATGACAGATATAGTCGTTATGACACAAAATTCTGCCACATCTTCATGACGGATATAGTCGTCAAACACACTTAACTGGTTAAAGCTTCATTAAAAAGTTATCACAATAATAGAAAACATAGAAAACAATGGCAAGTCATGGTTGCTGCAATGCAATACACATTTATGATTACTCAGTTTATACAAGAAACATCTAATAATAATCGATCTCGAAATGTTCACCATTTCTCGTAATTCAAAATTAATATCAGTCGAAAACAAAATTAATTACTTAGTAGTTTGAGTGGTAGAACTGCTATAAATAAAACTCAGATAGTAGACATAGTATATACTTTTACGAGACGCATTTAAGAAAACGGTTACAGGTACTGCTCCAAATTGGTTTTTCTAACAAAACAAAAAAACAAGTAATTTTTTCTACTAGTGCATATCATATTTTTTGTAATCTTCTTGGCACGAATTTTAACATATTAGGCATATTGTTATATAATTTTTATCGTATTTTAACGAGATTTACCTCTCTATAAAATCGTTTGATCTAATTGTGTAAATTGGAATTGCTTAGAAGAAACAATTTTAAGCAATTTGCATTTATATATACAGGGTCTGACAGTATTGCTATAAAAGATAAAAAGGGATGGTAGGCGGGACGATTATGAACAGCTTTTTGCTTTGAAAATATTGCTTAAAGCTAGATTTTCGAGTTATAGGCAAAATACATTGACCTATAAGCGTGGACCGGGTACTCGATCGCGTGAATGACAGCTTTGAGTGCGATAGCTAGCTATGGTCATGAGCAAGCGAATCGATAATTGTATTGTGTAATATTTTTACCTATCTTAGTATCAATTATATTTAATGCAAGTGATAAATATATATTTCTATTCATATAAGTGAGAAATGTTTGTCGCAATAAAAGCTTTTCGAGAAAGTCTGTCAATTATTACATTCTAATTTAAAATCTGTATCTTAATATTTGTCCCTTACATAGTGACATTTAACATTAATATATTGTGTTCTTTAATGAAGGATGAGAGTTTTGATAAGTTGAACTACACTTTGATTAACAATCTAAAGAATTTCTCCCACAAATAAAAAAAGTTAAACATTATCGGTTTAACAGCTAAACCGATAGTTCAACAGCAACATCGGTTTAAGCACACATATCTCCAAACAGTTCTTTCATCCATATTATTTCGTTTGCTGTTAAGTATACTATGGCAAATTTCGCGTCGATTGTAGACATGGTTACTGCAGTCTGTTATTGTGAGCACAAGTGATTGCATTCGAATCCCATTGAACCACATATCTTGTGGTGGCTCTTCTCGTTTGGGGTCGCCCGCACAATCGGCATCGCTGAATACCTTCAATTAAGTGTCACAATCTTTTTCTAAATCATTCTTCAGCCATTGATGTTCCTTGAAAAATACTTTATGATTTTCTGAACTGTACTTCGCTATATTTTCGTAGAATTTTCTATACATTTATTGGTTTTGCAAAGGTAATATTTCTATGCAAATGAGACTATTTATAGTTTTGTATAATACTTATATGATCTAATCAGCAAGATGTATTTGTGTGCATATTTTATGCACATCTGCTCATTTTGATTCAATTCGCGGTTAGAGAAAAATACTAACAATAAAAGTCCATTATTCTAAAATACTTCTTGAATTTTTTTACTAAATCATAAATCATGTTGTGGTCCTCTGCTACAATCGACTTATGCCACTGTAATTCAATGAATGGCACCGAAGATGTAGAAATTTGTGTTAGATGCTTCCAATCTATTTTTTTTTTTTTTATGAAGTTGAGTAAGATGCTGATTTCAATGTTTAAATAATCGTCTCGTAAATTTTCCATTTTGATGCTTTATGGTTGTTCGTGGTCGTTTCAAAATTCAAAAGTTTACAACTTCCTGCAACTAATGTATCATCTAATTTTAAGTATTATATCTTTCTGACAATTTCAACAAATTCTTATCCCTTAAAACATTTTTATTTCTAGATGAAATATGTACATTTTCTTTTTATATTTATTTTATTTTTACTTTTTAAATATAAGTTTTTATTTTTGCTCTTTAAGACTCTTTAGGATCCCCTTTTTTGATATCGAATAAAATAATCAAGTCCATCAATTTAGGCATTATCTTTATTTAAAATTTCTTTTTGTTTCCATAAAAGATTTTATCTTTTACAACTTTGACTGCATTTCTTTCAGACACGGTTTTCAAACATAAAAGCCTATGTTCCTTACAGCAGTGATTATAACCGCGTCACGCTCATACCTGCGACGCTTACAATAATTATTGAGAAATCAATTAACGGCATATGAAGAGGTATAAAATGTCTAAAATATTGTAAAAGATTGTAAAAAGAATCATATCTCTAATAAATATGGTGATTGCCCCTCTTTACAGTAGGTGATTTTAAATCACATATCTAATAAACATTACTACATACAACAAATTCCAAAAACACGTATCCTCTATTTTATTCCATAGTTTACATACAAGAAGTTGCAAAAAAAATAGATCAACATTTAGTACAACAATTTTAACAAAAAATATAAATTTTCAAAATATTATTTAAACAAATAAAGTTTATTAAAATCTTTTTACGCACAAAAATTCCCTATTTAAAGACGAACATTTTACAAAAGAAAGCATCCAATTATCTTCTTTAATTCCTGAAATATTCCCAAAAATATGATTTCAGCCCTTAACTTTGGGGGCTATTTTCACCCCTTCAATATGCACGATTGCCGATAAAAAGAAATACGTATCAAATATTTTTTTGAGAACTATAACTCACATATGTTTCATCAAAATCGGCGTGTCTGGGTTGGATATGTTCCCTTGTAACAGGAGTAATAAAGTAAAAAATAAATATAAAACTAATATTCATTCCGTGGATGCCACTATAAAACTATCATCCGAAACCTCGCTTGTTTAGAAAACATGATATTTCAAATTTGGTACAATGTGTTAGCTAAACAGTTTTTATTACATAAGTTATGATATATGTTTTAGTTATGACCAACATAACATAAAGTATTTATATCGGTATGCTTTGTTAGTGGCATCTGTATGAAAATACCATATTTCCAAACTGTCTTTTGTCTGTT